GGATGTTTGCACCGAGAGGCAGCTTCTACTTGAGATTTTAAGAAACCGCGAAGCCATGGAGGAAGAATAGAAGTGGATTAGAGGGGAGCTCACACAGCTCATGGAGAGATCCTACTCCATCTTGATCTTGGACCCCGAGACCATCTTGGGTCATCCTCTTAGATTTGTTAATTGCAATCCTTCCTTTTGACCTACTCCCCTTTTTCTGAAAAAACACTTTGTTGTGAATACCTTTTAAAATTCTAGTACTTAAGTTCTTAGGTCGCTAAGCCCATAGTCAATCGTATATATATAAAGTATTGTGTATTTGATTTGCTATTTTTCCTGAATTATGTTTCATGACTTGATTAACATTGAGTTAGGAATGTTTATTTAAAACTTGAATTCATTTTTCTTTAAGCCTGTTATAAAACTTTATACTAGTGTTATCAATACCGGACTGGACCGGTCGGTCGGACCGGGGAACCGGGACCTAAGCCGGTCCGGTTCACTAAAAAGACCACTTGGGCAATCGAACCGCTGGAAAACTGCCAAACCGGCTGGTTTTGGCCAAAATTAGTGAACCGAATGATTTCTAAAACCAGCTAGGCCATTTCATCTTTTGTCTTCTCCAGAAATGATGCCGAATCCAATTCTCAAACAGTAGCCACAACACTGATGTCAAACTCTTCTATCTTCTCCCCTCCCTCTCTCTTTTTCTCCTTCTCTCTGTCTCAATTGCAAGAACCCAAATTTTTGTCCAAACCCTAAATCATTGGTAGAACCCACCAAATCCTAGACCCAAATTGAAATAAAGTAACCACCATCATCATTATAACCAAGAATTTCCACCGATCTCAACTCTGAAAACCTAAACAAAGAATAGAGAGGTCCCTTCTTCAAACCCAAATCACATGGAAAAGAGAACACTTGGGTCTTGTGACCTCACCATTGGATTCATCTTGTAAAATCTAGTTACATAGACAATTTTTGTCGAATTTTGAGATAGTTAGATTTTTTGCATTTTACGAGGTGATTGGGTGTCGGTGACCTCATAAACGAACCCGAGAATTAAATTACGAAAATTGGATAATAATTTAAAGATAGTTCATATAAAAATTTTTTGAACTTAAACTAGGACAAAATTTAATCGATTTGGGTCAAAACTGGACCTAGAAAAGGAGAACGTGTGACAAAATAAGGACCAAGCATTTAAAGGGTATAAATAGGGGAAAAATCAGATTTCTTCCCATACCCATCAGATTATCCAAAAAATAGAAAGAAGAGAGGGAAGCTTTACCTTCTATCTATGGTCTACACCGCTATGTTGCTCGAATCAACTCAAGCTATTAAGTGCCACAACACATCTAGTGAGACACTACATCTCCTTTATATTTCGAGGTGGGTGCATATCCATCATAGCTTGAATCTTTTATGGGTTTGTCTCAATTCCCCTTTGAGACACCATGAATCCCAGAAATTTTCCAGGGGATACCCTGAAAGTATATTGCGAGGTTAAGCTTCATCTTGTACTTCCTTAGGATCTGAAAAGCTTCTTGCAGCTTGCTCACATGGTCCTTAGCAACTTTAATTTTTACCAACATGTCATCAACATAAACCTCCATGCTCTTCCTAATAAGGTTCTTGAAAATTTAGCCAAGAACAACTATCAAGGGGCAAGCGTTAGCAAACTTTATCATTGAAAATACCTCATCCAAAGAATCCTATTCGTTAAACAACTCGGGGCAGAAGAGCTGGATCCTCTTTACCGATGGTTCATCAAATGCTAGTAAAGGAGGGGTAGGAATAATCTTGGTCTCCCAAGATAAAATTAAGATTAAGGTGCCTTAAGATTCGGGTTTGGAGCCTCAAATAATGAGGTGGAATATGAAGCTTTGCTTGTTGGATTGAGGTTAGGATTGTCGTATGGAGTAAAAAACCTCCTAGTAAAGATAGATTCCCAACTAATTGTTAAATAGATCAAAGGAGAGTATGAAATCCTTCAATGTGGAGCACATTCCCAAAGTTGAAAACACTTATGCTGATTCTTTAGCTCACTTGGCTTCATCATTCCACAATGGGCTCTCAAGTGTAATCCTTGTGGAGCTCCTTCGTAAACCTAGCATCGACGAGGTAGAAGTATAGGTCAATGTCACATAGCAAGATAATGGGTGAATCTTTTTTATCGTTCAATAATTAAAAGATGGGGCAATCCCCAAGGAGATGACTAAGGCATAAAAGCTCTATCGGAAAACTGCAAGGTACGCTATTATAGACAGAGTTTTACATTGTCTGGAGAAAAAGGTTTCCTCACTCCATATTTACATTGTTTAGAGAAAGAAGAAGGTTAGTATGCTCTTAGAGATATTCATGAAGGTGAATGTAGGAACCACTTAAAGGGGAGAGCTCTCGCCTACAAAGCTCTCCGCCAAGGGTATGATTGACCAACTGTATAGAAGGATGCCATGCAGTTTACGAAAACTTGTGATAGTTGTCAGAGGTTTTCCAACATGTCAAAAAAACCTCTATATGAGCTTTATCCTATGAAAAGTCCTTGGTCATTCGCCCAATGAGGCATTGACATGGTCAGACCTCTGCTAGTCAGAAAGGGGCAGAACTGATTTGCAGCTATGACAATTGATTACTTAACCAAATGGGCTGAGGCAGAACCCTTGACCACTATCATAGAGAAGAGACTTCAATATTTCTTTTGGAATTCCATACTTGGTCAAATTGGGGTACCTTATGTTTTGGTGTCAGATAATGGAAAGTAGTTTGACAATGATCAATTTAGAGAATTCTACTCCGAATATGAAATTTGCAATCATTACTTCTCCCCAGGCCACTCACAAGCTAAGGACCAAGCAGAGGTGACTATCAGGACACTTATACAAGGAATCAAAACCCAATTGAAGGAGTCAAAGAGGCTATGGGTAGATGAACTACCCCGAATCTTGCAGGCGTATTGCATGACGATAAGAACTCCAATAGGGGAAACACCATTCTACCTGGCCTATGGGATAGAGGAAGTACTCTCAATTGAAATGGAGGTTCAAACTTTTAGAGTCTAGCATTATAATGGAGAAGAAAATGAAGAACAACTCCGCACTAACCTTGATTTTTTGGAAGAAAAAAAGGAGCAATCTCAAATCAAACTGGTAGCTCAACAAGCTCAAATAGCCCGCTACAACAATAGAAAGGTGAAGATTCTTGAGTTTGCCCCTGGAGACTTGGTCCTCAGGAAGGTAACCCAAGCTTGCAAGGATCCTAAGCATGGAAAGCTTGGCCCAAATTGGGAAGTACCCTATCAAGTTACTCAAATGATAAGGGCTGGAATTTATGAGTTGCAAACATTGAATGGAAGAAAGTTGACACATGCATGGAATGCCAAGCACCTTAAGAAGTACTATAAGTGAGAATGGCTTTTTGAAAGCAAAAATAAAGATGCTAGTTCATCTTTCTCACTTTGATCTCTTTACTTTATTTTGTAATAAGTTTTGTGGCAAATTTTTCTTAGAAGAAGAGTTATGAATACAATATGTTTGTTTCATCTCTTAGAAAACCTTTGTGTGAATCTCATGTCAAAAACCTTGAGAAAGCTCTATCTTGAGGAAACTAGGCTTCAAAAAGAAGTTACCTTATTTAAAAAGGTTGGAAAGAGAAGAACACCTCTAAAGAAAGAGCTTATAAACAAAACAAAAAAGGAAAGCTAAGAGGCCTTCCATTCACTGGGTTGAAAAGACTTAGCCCAACTTAGGCTTGCTGAATACCAACTTGGTTAATCACCAATTGAATAGTTGGAATTACTCTAAACTCAGCAAAATACTCTTGAGACAGAGTAGAGAGGAAAACTGCCAAGGTGGTAAATTCGGTAAGCTTGACCTCCGAATAAAGGCAATTAAAAAACCCAAAAATTAGCAAGGCAAAAATATCCTAAGCAAGAACAGTACAAAGAAAGAGCAATTTATAGAAACTACTAAGCAACTTTCATTACTAAGCTAAAAGTTTATTTAAAAGTCTAAAATTTAAAAAAAAAAAAAGAGTAGAACAACCTCTTGTAAACCTAATCCTCTCCATCCTTTGGCAAGGAATCTTCCTTGTCAAAATCGCCTTTACCCTCCGCAGTAGCAAGGGAGGTAGCAAAGGAGGCCGCTGGGAGAATAGCAGAAGTAGAAGTTAGGATAGAGGGGTCAAGTTGGATGCTGAAAAAATCAATATTGGGGTATAGAACCATAGCTTGCTGGTGAAAATTTTCAAAGATAGCATCTTAGTAGCTCATCCCAAGCTCAGGAAATTCATAAGATTTCTTGAAATTCTCTATGACTTTGTCAACAACTTTCTTCATGGTAGATTTGGCTTCATCATTTAGGGAGGAAAGCTTGTTGGCCATATCCTTTTCAGTGGTCATGGCCTTCTTAGCATCTTCCTAGGCCTTTGGTAGAGCATCCTCCAGACCACTCTTCCCAACTTTCTCAATCTCTAAGGAGCTCTTGATAGTATCTAAGTTAGTTTGCAAAGACACTAACTCCTTATCGCGAGAATAAAGAATATGCTTCGACGATAGAATCTCATAAAGAGCTTTCTCTAGTTGCTCCTTGATGGGATCCTCTTTCATAAAAGTCAGACAGCTCATTACAGAACCAAGAATGGCCAGTTGATACAAAGAAATTCCATATTAGAATAAGAATATCGAACAATAAAGAGAAGAAGGTAGCTATGTACTACCTTCCCAAAGTGGTGATCCATGGACTCAAAAACATTTAGGGACCCCATCTTCACTATCTTCTCTACCTCTACCCCCTAGGATAATATCCTAAACCACTTCACAACAAATTCTTTGTCACTTTAAAATATCGAATCAGTTGTTTTGGTTTTAGAGACTAAAGTATCACCAGGAGCAAGGGCAAGCAGCTTCCCCTCATAGTCTTCCTTTTCTTGATAAAAGGAAAATCTAGAGAAGACTCCACATCATGGGCTCCTTGGAGCTAGAAAATGATGGTCTTACTACTTTGAGGTCAAGCCTAGTTATCCTTGAAAGCCCCATTTCCAACAGGAATGGGGGTGATAACCCAAATTTCATGTTGTTCTCTCAGAGTAGCTTGACGAATAGTGGTGTTGCCTAGAGAAGAGCTCTGGCTAGTCAGCATGTTTACTTCTGTGATTGGCATAGTTGAATCTTCTGACGTTTCCATGCTTTGGTTGTCCTCTTTGGACCTCAGTCTCTTTGAAATCGGCAAAGGAAGGCTACTGAATCCTTCCTTATACGTAGCTTTCACACTCCTGAGAGCCTCTCTGTCCAGCTTTATATCAAGTTAAGGAGCCAAGTCTGTAATAGAAATCTCAGAAAGATGAGATAAAAAGTAGAGATATAGCTCAAATATGAACAGATAAAATAAAGAACTTACTCTTAAAAGGTATAATAGAAAGAGTGAGAGGTTTAGGTCTCATCTTCAATTTAGGCAGATTGGCTTCTGTAACCATGTTGCTGAATTCTTTGAATTTGTGGCCTTGAGCCACAACAACTCTGTCTAGGATCTCTTTACCCAGAGATGAGATATCAACTGCAAAAATTAGAATTTCTTAATTCTTGGTTTCTTGGAATAAAAAAGGAATTCAAGAAAATGAAGCAAGAAACTTACCAGAGGCAGTGGAGGGCATTACACCCCATTTGTAGAGAACCCTCATAGGGTTCACAACCAGAGGTTTAGAGGGATCAAATTCCCATCCAGAATAAAAAATGAAGAAATTTCCTACGAAACTTGACTGACCTGTTAGGGCCTTTCATGCTTTCCATAGACATAGAAAGAAGCACATGCCTCATATCGGATTTAGGCTCTTTTTAATGTCCTTTCACTTTATTAGGAATAGAGAATCTATATCAAAGAAAGGTCTAACTGTTGGAATAGTCGTATCTATTGCTATTTGATCCATTGTGGTTAGTAAGATTAGTGGCTAAAAGGACGAAAAGAGAGGGATTCAAACCCTTAGTAAACAAAAGCCTACATAGTAGTTCCAATGCTATGCCTTGAACCATTTGGCCATCTCTCGTGATCTTTCCACTTTTTGGTAGGGGAAGGAATTTTAGTTAAAAGATTAACACTACCAGCCTTTTTTGTCAAATAGTACCAGCCCAAGCTTGGGCTAGTACCCATCTTAATTTGAAAAGAATGGAGGGCCTCTCCAACACTGAGAAAAATACCAACGCCATGAACAGAGCTCCACAAGGCACCAAGCCTAATGAACACCCTCCAACTATTTAAGGTGAGTTGTACAGGAGCAATGTTCAAGAAGGACAAGAATTCACGAACATAAGGTAGAAAAGGGAATCTGAATTCAAAATTAAAGGTTGCTTCATACATGCAGACCTGCCCTTTATGATAATGGCAAGCTCTTTCATCCCCACCAAGAGCTCTCAGTAGGATGGAATCATAAATGCAAAATTTGGAGCAAAAATGGGAAAGATCAGCTTCGATAATAGTACTGAAGGCCCCTTAAGCAAATGTGCTCAACCACTATTCCAACAGAATAGAATACAACAAAGTAAATGTGCTCAACTGGATCAACGAATTTGAGCGATCAATCAATGTATCCAAGGGACCGAATCACCTCAAAAAAGGAAATGGAAACTACAAAAACTTGTCTCGAGATGATCTATGGTGATGCTTGGAGAGGAAAATAGAGGCTTTTGATGCCTCCAAATGGGAACAACCTCTAGGCAATCTCGATAGAAAGGGGAACCATGCCAAATTGGGAAGGACCATATAAGATAACCTCGGTGGAAGATTTGGTGTTAAGTAAGGTCATAGGGAACACCCATCCAACCAACAAAAAGCTAGACCCAAATTGGTAAAGACCATACAAGATAACCTTGGTGGGAAGGTCGGGGTCATACAAGATGGAAGACTTAGGGGGAAATCCTATCCCTAAGGTATCGAATGTATTGAATCTGAAGAAATTTTACCACTGAATGAATATATTGGTGTATTTTGACAATGAACTCTAAATAACATAAGCAATGAGTTTAGTAGTTAGGGGCCATGCCCCGGATAAGCATTTGTTGTGTCTAAACAACGGGCATGGCCCCCGACGAGGTAAGACTTCACTAGCAAAACACTATGCCTGAATGTACTAAGGTGAACAAGGGGAATGGCTCTAGGCAAAGTAAGACTTCGACAACGAAGCACTGCACTTGAATGTACTAAGGAAAAATCGCCTTTGACATCCAGCAACAAAGCTTAAGCATCTTGACTTTTGTAGACACATAAAGTTAGGATTGTCACTCAGCTCCTCACCACCATTTGCATGTCTAAAATAGTGGCCAAGGTGAACTGTGGCCTAGGCACCAAATTGATCCCAGACACCTTAAATATCAAAGCCGAATCCACAACAAACCATTCTTTCCTCACAAAGGTTTGAATCCACCTTCTCAGTAGTACAATAGAAGTCCCTAATCAATGAAGTCGCACCCTTCCCAAACCTTTCAATAAAACCAACCCAACCCCTATTCCTAATTATATCCATATCAAAATCATGCAAAGGTACTGCTTTCTCCATTCCAATGGGTCTAGTAGAAACAGATTGAGTGTACCTCTATCTTTCTCAATGTTCGAGAATCGAAGAGGATCAAAGTAATACCTGAACCCGTCTTCATCTAGAAAAAACCCCAGTTCTTGAACACCTTGGGCACTTGACTCTACCCTCTGTGTGTAGGTCCTCTTTTGTGGCATTGTGAAAAGTAGTGGGCTGGAAAAGGGTAAGGAAATCTGAAATCATTTCTTAAAAGAAAGTTCAAAGAGCATATTTGGAATTTTTGTGGGTAGATTTGAAGTTTATGTGTAATTTGGAAGGGATTTGGTGAATTTTGTAGTGAAATAGGAGAAGAAGAAGATAATTTTCAATTTTTCTAGGGTGTAGAAGAGTTATAGATGAGTTGGAGAAGAAGATCTGTCATTTTATAGGTGCATAGCTGCGTCTAGACAATGCATGTGCGTCCGAACGAAGCTTTTAAGATTTCGCGTATTCTCAAGGGTAAGGTTGCTACTATAACTTTAAATATGTATCATCTAAATTTATGTTATCTTGAAATAATATATACTCGGAAATTCGAGGTGTGTTCCTTGCCTTTAAACAATTCCCCGGCAACGATGCCAAAAACTTAATCAAAATTGATCACCCAAGTGCAGGTATTACTAAAAATAATATTATTTTAAATAAAAATAATATTTTATCAAACCACATGGAATTATGTAAACGTAGAACACAAAGGAAAAATAAAAGAAAATTGCTTTGGAAAATTGTTGTGGAGACTTGGAAAATAGTAGAATTGGTTTTAAAATAGTATGAGAAAATATTAAAGCATCCAGGATACCCTTTCAATTTCACACGACAATTATTTATGATTTAATTNAATAGTATGAGAAAATATTAAAGCATCCGGGATACCCTTTCAATTTCACATGACAATTATTTATGATTTAATATTTGAACCCAATTGAAAATCAGTAGAATAGTGATCTCAATCAAAGTATAATTGATAAATCATCTGAATAAATCTAGGTATTTACTTGTAGATCACAAGTATTCACCGTGCCTAGAGTCTACGATAAATTAAACTTTCCAACAAATAAATCCCAAGTTTATAACAAATAAAAAATCAACTATTTTTTGAAAAATCTAATTAATTCAAGCATGGTAAACTAGGGAACCTAAGGATTTGATTCCATGACACAACAAATCAAATACTTATATAGAGCAAAATCTTTACTAAAAGACAAGAATTAATTAAAAGAAGAAATCATACATTGAATAACATTGGATCAAAAATAAATACCATACTTTATTGAAAGACTCACCCCTAACTTTAGTTTGGGGATTCAATAATCGATATACATGAAAAAAATATAGAAAGATGTGATCTAATATTCCCTTTTTCCAAAAGGAAGAATCTATATTTATACTAGGGAAGCTAGGATTGACATTGGAACAAGTACATTCCAAATAGAAGTCTTTTTAGGTTAAAAATCGTGCATCAAAACTTAGGGGCACAACTAGTGTATCTACCCCAACTTCAAGCTTGAGTTTTGCATTATTATAGGTTGATTCACAAATTTTTCATGAAATACATTTTTGTAGCTCTTGAAGGCTTATTTCCCAATGCTGAAAAAATTAGGTCAATAGGACATTAGAGTAAAACATTATGAGCAAAATACTAAAGATGTGTTAAAACCTTATGTTTTAGAATACTTTCATAATCCAACTCTAAATGAGTTCTACTAACTTGGATTCTCATAAGGATTAAATTGTTTTCTTATCTTCAAATTTTCATCTTTTAATTTTAACTTCACTTGAATTATCCATTATTACTTTAAATCAATCAAATTACCTGCAAAATAAATCAAACAACTAGAACAAGTATCAAACTAGAAAATCAAGGAATCTAACACATTTAATAAAAAATAATAAAAAATTAAATAATTATTAAATATAATAAAATAGTACTTTTGATGGTTAATCAGTCGTTTCAAGTCTGACGTTTGATCAAATGAAGAGGCGCGTCTAGACAGTGTAGCCTACATCTAGACAGTCTCGACTTACTAGAATTTTAAAGGCTAGGGGTATGTCTGAATGGTTCATCTTGCATGTAGACACTCAAATATTTCTAAATTTTTTGTGAACAATCACTGACTGAATGGTGAAGGTGGCGTCCAAAAGGTCTTATATTTCTGAAAAAAACTCCATTTTGCATAAAAATTTCCCCAAATTTTGACTCGAGAAGGTTTTTTTCTTTTAAATAAAAATCCTTTTTTGTGACTCTAAGGTATATAGTTTACCTAAATGTAATGCAACAATCCTAGACCCAAATGAAAATAATAAACACTAAAATACACATAACAATTAAGTAAATAAAGAAAGAAAATTAAAGAGATTGTTATAACAACCATCCCACCCCCAACATAAATCATACATTGTCCTCAATGTAAAATGAATCATTAAAAGTTCATAAAGATTAGATCATGATCAAGGGAATAGAAATACTGCAACATCTTTTACACAATCCTATAAGAAATACTTATAAAACAACAAAAATTGTTTGTAAAAATTGCAACAACTACTTTACACTATAACAAATTGCATGCATCTCAATCAATGTATTGTGGATCCACCAATTTGATGGACTCCACATCAGCCATTAAATCCATCTAAAAATGACTTTAGCCTCTTGCCCATTAACCTTAAAAGCATTAACATTATTAGGGTTCTCAATCTCAATTGCCCCATGCGGAAAGACTTGTGGTAGACCACCTAGACCACAACTTACCAAAAACAAATAGAGGCGAGAATTATAAAGCAGGACCTTTTGAGAGCTTGAAAAGGTCTTCCTCACAATGTTCTTGCCATGGATATTTTCATATGGGCTTTTGAATATTTTGGCATTATCATAGGCCTCATTCCTAAGCTCTTTCACCTCATTAATATGAAATTTTCTAGACTCCCCTATTTTTTCTATGTCAAAATTAATTGTTTTAATTGCCCAATATGCCCTATTTTTAAACTCAATAGGCAATTGACACGATTTTCCATAAACTAGCTTAAAAGGAGATATTCCCAATATTATTTTAAAGTGAAAATTGGAAGTGAGTCCCTCTAAATGTACTTGTTTAGAGATAAGTCCTGCAAGGAAACTTATAACCGCGTACACTCACACATTTCATGGACTGTACCAAGGGAGTGCGTACCCATCACCGGGCCTTGCACCCAAGGGATCTTCTAGCCCTTCTTGCTAACCCCAACCCTATTCACCATGTAATCTGTGAGACTCGACCAGGTCTTCGACCAAGCTTACTCGAGCTCACTAGTCATCCATCGAGTGTAGTGTTGACAACAACCATGCACACACACCCATACATGCGATGTCTCCGTGCATATGTAATACAATGCACCATTGCTATTTCAATGCCATGCCTCACATGTGATGAATGCCACATGTATACATATCCCATGCATATAAACACTAATTCCATCACTATGTCAATATATCAAGGAGCCTA